TGCGTGCTGAGATCATCTCCACACTTGGGACTGAGCGCACGCCAACATATGAGGATCTCAAGAGTATGAGTTATCTCAAGGCTGTTCTCAACGAGACTCTTCGTCTATACCCGGCTGTTCCTTTCAACGTTCGTCTTGCTCTCAAGGATACAACTCTTCCTCGAGGCGGCGGTCCAGATGGTTCTGAGCCACTCCCCGTTCTCAAGGACTCGCCAGTTGCATATTCCACCCTCGTCATGCAGAGACGTTCGGACCTGTATCCTCCTACCAGCGATACATTTGCCGATCCTCAGATCTTCAGCCCAGAGAGATGGGCCCACTGGCACCCCAAGCCCCATGATTATATCCCTTTCAACGCTGGTCCTAGAATCTGCATCGGTCAGCAGTTTGCTTTGACTGAGATGAGCTATGTTCTGGTCCGCCTGTTCCAGAAATTTGATCGTGTGGAGAGTCAGATGAAGGACATTGATGGAGGTGAGCCACTCCTCAAAGCAGACATTGTCTTGTCACCAGGTCAGGGGGTCAAGGTTGCATTCTGGGAAGCCCAGGATTAGTCTTTCGGTGTTATTTGAATAATGACTATTGCGTGGGCAATGTACAAATTCAATATGCGCGGCATGTTCGTACTTGTAGTTCTTTTTCCATATCAATTGGCTGATGCGTTCTTGAACTGTCTTAATCTTCAAAATTTGTCTCTATTTCCAGCAACTGATTGCCAAGACAAAGTCTACTTCCTACCAAAGCTATCTCTTACAGCCTTTCCGAATCTTTCAATGGCCTTGTTCATGTTCTCGGGAGTTGCAGATGCATATGTCGCTCTGAAGAAGAGTCCCGGTGGTGCCTTGTCCTTCTCAGTCAAGAACCACGAGCCCCTGGCGATAAGAACACCATTCTCGATACAGGAGTTGAAAATCTCTTCTTCAATATCGAGAATGCTTCGCTTTCCTGCTTCAGGATGCTTTGTATGATCAATATTAATCCACATCTTTAAGAGTCAGTTGACGATTTCCATATAGATTGATGCGGTAAACTTACAAACATGCCAGCGACAGGGGGGGTCCAAGTTGCAAGATCACTAGGTAGATGATCTTCGCAGGCGGCCAGAAGAGCATTGCGCTTCTTTGTATACTCCAGTCGCAAATTCATCAGCCACCGTAGGTAACCCTCGTGTCCCCATGTCTCATCAAGCAACTTGTATAGAATGACCTGGGAGAAGCCACTGGGCCCCTGGCTTGCAACTTCAGCATGTCGAATATACCTCTCAACAATTTGTTCAGACGCTGTTATCCAGCCAAGACGAGAACCTGGCACGAGAACCTTTGAGAAGGAGTCCATACGCATAACTCGTCCGTCAACATCGATGCTTAGAAGTGAGGGAATGAGAGACGATACAAACTCCTCGACAGTCTCTGGTGGTGGTACTTCTGGTTGGTCGCGACCCGTGTAGGGTTGCATCTGGAGGAAGTAGTATGGCTCATCTTCGATGATGTATAGATCATGCTTTTGTGCCACGGCATAGACGGCCTTTCGTCTCTCGGTTCCCTGTGTTGCCCCTGTGGGATTCTGTCCTGAAGGAACAGTATACAACACATGGGGCTTCCTCGATCCTCGTTCTTTAGCATCCCAGTTTGACAAGAGCACATCCATAGCCTCGGGGACGAGGCCCTCTTCGTCGATTGCCACGCCGAATGCCTTCACACCAAGAGGACCAACTGTTTCCAGGGCAGTCGAGAAGCTGAAATCTTCAGTGAGTATTGAATCGCCACGATCCTTATCACAGAACATTCGCAGTGCCTCTTCTAATGCTCCGGTGCTGCCGATTGTTTGGCAAACTTTCCAGTCTGCATATGGAGGGTTATACACAATCTCGGTGTGCTCAGTCAAGTATCTCATCATCTGCGGTGATCCCGTGGCTTGGCCGTAGTTGCAAGCGATGGACAAGTCATAAGTGCCTCCGCGATCTCTCACGTCATATTTTCCGATTGTTACAGTTTGACCCGACTCTTCAGTCTCTTTCTCGGAGAACTTTGGTGCGACGGGAACCTTGAAACCGAGTTCAGCGATGGGGAAAACTTCACTGGACGGCAGGCCACCGCCCAGTGAGATAAGGCCAGGTTTTTTCATGTAGCGAGCCGCTTGCTTGAGAGTGCATGGTTCTCGCACTTTACTCTCGTGGCTCAAGTGGTCTTTAGACATCTGTAAGCTATAATTGTGAAATCTGAGGTGTCTTCTTAGTACTTACTATCCCATCGCTTGGACTTGGGTAGTCCGGTAGTCTGTCATTACAATGAGCTTCAGAACAGTGGTCACTCCAGCTCCTCAACTCACCGGTCCTTTGAACATGTCACTATCTGAAGCAGCAGCAACTCCAGCCACGAGCTTTCCCGCTTTCAGCCGTCTCTCCTTGACGGCATCGATAGCGGAGAGCTGCTGTGAGGTATCATAATGCGCTGGACGGGCAGCCGGGGCAGCCTCGGCGCTTGACAGACATCGCGATGTGGCATGAAGTGAGCGACCATGTCGAACCAATGGCCCAAATCGCGGTCCTCTCACGACTGGGAGCATCATGATAGTGTGTAAAGGTATGAGATGTTGTGCACCGTGTAAGTGGAGCTGGCTGAGGGGTTCTTGGAGATTCAAGTAACAGGGGGGTTCGAGATTTAGAAAGATGTTGAAGAGAAAAGCTCGCTACTCGAAACTCGTTGAGGACAGAAACAGGAGGTTGTCAAAACACAAAAGGGCGTCTTATTAATCCCCTTCGGAGCCGGGAGATGCACCAAACGTCGCCGGTGCCGGGCTTCTCAGTCTCCGCCCGATCTTAGCCGGCTGTATCCCAGATACCCTACACCGGTGCTCCGGGCTTGGAAGCGGGGTTGTGTCATTGACGCCTCACGAGGTCAGAACTCTTTATTCAATTAGTTATCTATTACGTACGCCTGGTCTATGTATTTCACTGTGCTACGTTGCGCGTGACCATGGTCAAGGAGCGGTGGCCACTTGTTACTTGAATGATCACTACGATATCGGCACTTGACCACGCCCTTTGAATTGTCACCTACGCCCAGTTGCCTAGTGTCGTTCCTAGCGGGCTTATCTCACGCCTTCAACCATGGCGAGATAGACTACCCCGGAATGATAAGAGAATGTACCCTCTTTGGGCCTATGGCCAAACTGATCCACCCACGAACAATGCTGCAGCTCTCTCACTGCATAGAAAACGATAACGAGATCTTACGTACCTAGGAAGGGCGGATGAGTGGACTATCATTCAACAAGATTGCAGAAAACTCCAAAACATTCTACCAAGGCTCAGAAATACGTAGGTGTATCACATATCTAGTTCACCATTGTCGCACTCTCATCTTTGTATGGTCAACACAACCGCCAGTGGGCTTTACACCAACGTTGCACAATGCAAAGAAAAGCAAGGTATTGTAGGATTGACCAGAATGTTTACCACTCCTTTCTGGGCAGTTAACATACCCTTATCCATCACAATTTCAGACTCAGACTCAACTTATTCATCCAGTCGTGACTGGATATGCAGGCATACAGCACTTGCAACCATAGCCAAACATGTCGCCCAAGATACATGAACCAGCATGATATAGTCGAAACCTGCACCGGTACATTTTCCTACCAGCATGCCGAAAGACACGCAGGCTGCAAAGATGAGGGACATGTTAGGGTCCCGAAGGCGTCGCCGTTGAAGAAATGAAGCAACCGAACAACCGTAGATGATACAGGCTGTGAGCACTTGCCACTGAGAAAGCCTGATCAGCGATTCGGAGCGCGCTGTCTGCGGCCAGGCCTTATACCAACCAAGACGTCAGTTTCTATCTCCCGAAAGCAATATGTGCAGCAGATCCAAACCTCCCATGAGATTGCCAAAGCAATCATGAACTCAGTCAAACTCACCGTGTCTGGTAAATGAGTGGTTGGGCGCATTTGGTACATGAACTCTGACATGACCCAAGCGCTTCCACCTGCTGGTAGAAGCTCGACCACATCGGCAACAAATGGGATGAGCGACACATGGCGGACAGAGCCTTTTTCAGACGGTTGAGACTTTTCATTCGAATAAATAGTCATGAGAAGCGAAGAAGTCCCACACGAAGGGAAGTGTGTTGCGAAGATGGTAAATCAGTCTCAAGCCAAACAACTTTGCTCTCCCCTCCAGACGTTAAATCATTGGGTCCATGTACTCTTATAAGTAGTCCTTCCCGGACCAAAGAGCATGCTGGGCATCATTAGCTAGACAGCAACACAATAAGCGGGCCTCAATCAACCTGGGTATAGTCGATATAACGATCTGCCATCCGGCAATGCGGAGAGAATTTCCATGCGTCGTTATGGGACAGCATGGGATGGACCAACTGCACTCTTGACACAGCCATGATTCCCAAGACTTTCTTTGGTTTGATGCCTCCAAGCCTAATGATTGTGCTGATGTTGGGTTGAAATGGTTGTAAGGCATACTCAGCTCAGAAGATGTGAGATAACGTCAGCCAATCGTTTGAGCCTCATATGGTTCGCCCGCCCAACACTCAACCACAAACCGACTGCTTTGCCTCGTACGTGGGCCAACTCAATAGGCTCATATTACGTCGCATGTGAGGAAAGTACGAAAAGCGGCCAATTTGGGACAATTCCCAATGAATGCCTCACATCTAAGACTTGATGCCGAGCCTATCATCCCAGGATGCAGCTTTCTTGAGGCGAACCGACGAACATGATTTGGCTGACTGCTGCGTTCACCACTAGCATCCATTACTTCGTACCAGTGGCGAGGATCCGATACTGGCTAGCTTCGGGCTTTGCGTTGGGCGTCCATGAATATAAGAACTTTGATACGGCCAGAATCTCAAATCAACGGCATTGTTCCTTGGTCTGATTTCATCGTCTGTCTCGAGTACACGTTATCACTCCAATCTCAAAAGTAGTTTTGGGCTGCTCCCTCCCTCTCCTTTCAGCCCAATCCACTCATTGCCATGACCAACATGCCTAACATAGCAGGTAGTTTCATATGGCGAATTGTACGCCATGTCGCAATCATCTTACCCGCGGGGACTCTCCTTGGTGCTGGCGTTGCCCTGGGGTTACCTCCGCACCCTCACTTGGATGCTGCGTAAGTCTGTATGCGATCGTCAAAGCTTTTATCCTGATGATGTCTAGAATCTTTTTGTTGCTAGCCGTGTCTGCTGTGGTTTCTTTTCTCCTGCACGGACCGGCCTTTCAGCAGTAGGCGCCTCGGACTGGGAATCGGAAGAGAAGCTGACAACTACGTCACAGAGCCCGTCTCGGCCCTATCGCTGCTCTCGTTGCACTTGGCTGCATCATTTCTCAGTCACATTGCTTCACGCAGTCCCCAAAGTCAAGAATCGCGATCTTGGTCGGACTTCGAGATTATATACTGAAGATGGCGGTAGTCACATCCGTGATAGCCATGAGATTGACGGCGATGCCCAGGAACAGACAAGAAACTGCGGATATAATTGAGGAGGGAGAGCACATCTCACCCAATGGCATTGAGCGATACAAATCTCTGCGCAATCTGAGCACGAAACTGTCCTGGGACTTGGCTTCCACCGCAAGTCATGTGGGTCTGCTCTCCAACATAGGCTCACTGGATTTCAAGTTCATGTCTGGACCCAAATCCCATGACTCGGACTGTTCAACTGGTAAAGACTCGGACATTACACTGTCATCTGATATGCAAGGCGAGCCCACCCGGAACATGGATATCATTGAATGGACCACTACTATAGGCTCTGCCACACACGAAACCAGAACGCCTCTTCTCAACGCAGACAGTACTGCAGAAGGATACGGCGTAATGTGTTGAGGCAGGAGAAGATCGTGTAGGCGGAGCTGTACCTGTTTTAACATTGCGAAGAAACCCGGATTTATAATGCCTAAAGGACCATGGATATTACCTTTGAGGATAGGACCTTGCCCGGAACAAGGACCACGAGGGCACTCGCCACTGAAAACCCATTGACTTTTGAGCGTTGTGTTTGCTGGACCGATGTTTCACCTCTTCAAAAGCGAGCGTCAATCTTTGTTTTCTTGATTCAACTTATTAAACCCCTTCTGACCGTGGCTGGCCCAAGGGTTTGTGCTTAGGATTAACCAAGGACTGCTTGGCAAAGGATCGCTAGCCCAGGCGCTGGATGTACCCATGGACCATGGCCGTAAACTTTGCTCAAGGCGAGGCAGGTTTGCTGGACGATAGAGTCAGATGCGATGCGTGTGTTTTATTCATTTGTGTCGTTGGCTCAATGAGTATAGATGTATATATACCCTTGGTAGTAGATGACAGGGCTTCTAGCAAGACAATCTGCGGAAAGGAAATAAACGTTGCTGAATTTGTTGCTGTTTGGGTACCCCACCTTCGGCAATGAAGAGAATCTGATATTGTTTTAATCATGCCCAGTGAGAGAAATGTTGTGATACCTAGTGAATATAAAGGTAGCAGCTTAGTATCGTTCAGGGGTGACCAGGAACGGAAGGACGGAAAGAGCAAGACGCATACTTACATAAGCCAATAACCACCAATCAGACGCTTTTATGACAACATCGCCAGGAGCTCGGGCATCCGCGACGACAGTGACAACCGACTATCATCTTCAATACCATCATACGTGAACAATATCATAAGTCAATGGCACGGGGAGCCATTCCTAGAGCCAGATAGCGCGCAGGGTCATGTTTGAGTCTCCGCTGCAGCGATATCCTTCTAATCGAAGCGCTGGTCCCCCAAAAGCACCGCGCATCTACAACTGTTGGACCCTTAGCTGAGGAGCTAAGCTGCCGCCATGTATTGGCCCATTGGAACACCACGCATCCATGCTACCAGCAGCAGTCGAGCTCCAGCCTTTAAGCTTGTCGTTTCTCATGATGGTCTTACGAGCCCCTCCGATTCCAGTTTAACGCCATCGCCTGGTCCTCCAACTTCTCAATCTCAAGGTCACACCATTGATGACCTCGACTCTCAGCCACCACCGACCCCGATAACACCAGGAATCCGACCTGTCGAGCACGATGACTATACATCAAGTAGACCGCCGCAAGCTTCTGAAAGTACCGAAACAGGAGGAATCCCTGTTAAACATCCCATACTGGCGTTGCGAGTTTCACGTTCCGGAAATCTGTTTGCTGTTATCACAACAACTTCCATTACAGTCTGGCAGACCAAAGTAAGACCTGCAAGACACGTTTGGCCCATTCGCCCTTCATGCTGACCGAAATAGCCTGCTGTTATCCTAGCTGTGGTTATTCGATCAGATTATTCCCTGGAAACGTACGGCAGAAATGTCGACCTGTTACTGAGACCTGACGCTGCCATCCTCGTCATACATACAGACCAGGGCTACCTCATCACTTACTCCTTGGCTACTGATCCCGACTCGCGCGTATACAAACCTCATTTCGCGAATTACAGCAATGTCCAGCGAAGGAGACAGAGTCTCATCGGAAGCCTCACCGGCCTGCCACCAGAGCAAATATTATGGGGCGCTGGCGAAGGCCCAGGGGTTCGCGACCTCAGTGTTCGCTTTAGAATGGTGATTAAGGTCGATGCCGGAATTGAGAGCGCGCTCGCTCTTGACGACGAGCTGATAGTTGCAACAAGGAAGCCCGCGGCTGTGCAATGTATCCGCTGGACACCGGACAGTACGGGCTCACAGACGAGAACCGAGATAATTAGTCGAATGGGATGGGTCGAGAAGAAGGCAAGCATTGTTGAGATGACACATGATCGTCCAATGAACCTCTTGACATGGATTACGAGCAGCGGACGAGCATATGCGGTCCAGCGCTACAACCATCGAGCAGAGAGCAGCCAGGTCGACGACGCGGATGCCAAGCGACTCTTCAAAGGCCACTGTTTCCATGTTCCCCAAGGCGAACACGATCGCGCCACTGCAGCGGTCATAAATGCAAGATTTTCTCTCATCGCCGTTGGTTGCTGCGACGGGACAGTACAGGTATACTCCGTCCGTGACTATGCAGGCAACATCCCTCATTCACATACCCATCAAGTCCCTGTGTCGACGGCATCTTCAGGAGCATTCACCAGTCTGAGTTACTCACCTGATGGTTACTGCCTTTTCGCGGGGTTTCAAAAAGGTTGGTCTACCTGGAGTATGTTTGGTAAGATTGGAAGTCATAGTTTTGGATCTGAAGAGACAACCTCACGCGCCAATGGAGAAGAATGGTTAACTGGAATTTCCGGGGCTACTTGGGTAGGGGGCGGCTCCGAGATCCTGATGACAGGACGGAAGCATGAAGCTATATGGTCCCTGGAGATGGCCAAGAATGCCGTTACCGGGTGTTACAATGAGGCAAATGTCTTCCGGACCGTGCTGCAGACTCCTTCAAGTGTGATGATCTACAGAGGTTATGATGTTCCAGATCTTACCAGCATCTCGGCAGAGCCATTCCTGTGGCATACGGCAAAGGTCCCTCCCACATATCTCTTGAACCAATGGCCGATACGGCAGACTGTCATCTCTCCCGATGGCCGCTACGTAGCTGTGGCTGGTCGACGGGGACTTGCCCATTATAGCGTCAATAGCGGCCGCTGGAAGACATTCGCCAACGAGGCTATGGAGAATGAGTTCCAGGTCAGAGGCGGCATGTGCTGGCATCAACACATTCTTGTTGCTGCAGTAGAAGCCAACAGAAGGTTTGAACTACGACTGTTCTCGCGCGAGACAGCCCTGGATTCGGCCCAGATACTACATACTCAGACAATTCCCGCCCCTGTGGTCCTTGTGACCACCTCTGGCGAGGACTCTCTCCTTGTCTACACCTACGAAAACTTACTGTATCATTTTATTTTTACTCCACATGGCGGCTCTATACGACTCATACAAGTAGGCCAGATTGCGTTTCACGGCATTGTCAGATCTCCAGCTCGAGTGAGGGGACTGAGCTGGATATTACCCGATACGCAGTTGACAGATGGCGACCCTTCTCAGGATGTTGCCGTTGCCTCGGTGATATTTCTTGTCGACGGAAAGCTTGTACTGCTCCGGCCATCCTTAAACGACGAGGGCCAGCTGAAATATGACATGCGTGTCATCGCACAAAACGTGGAGTACCACGCCAGTGTCCGGGATCAGCCATTGCGAAACGTGAACCGACAGCTCGAAGACAACCTCTTACGGGACGGACCGCCAGCACTAAAAGACTCTCTGTGGATATTTGACGGAATGGAGCTCAAGGCCTGGCCAGACATCAGCCAAGTTCTAGATGCGACTGGAGACAATGGCAAGGAACCGCCATCTCCAGTCTCTATTCCCGTCGACTTCTACCCCCTATCAGTCCTTCTGGAAAAGGGCATCGTGTTGGGAGTTGAATCGGATCTTGTCCAGCGTCGCGATGTGAACTTCTCGTACTTTCATTTCGCTATCAGGGTATGTTTTCAAGCGTCCTATTGTAATATGCTAGCTGACAGTGACCAGACACATCTCATACTTCCAGACCTACTGCGGTTCTATCTAAGGCAAAGCAGATCAGTTGAAGCCTCGAACCTGGCCCACCAGTACAAAGAGCTTGAGTATTTTGCGCATGGGCTTGAGATATTGTTACATCGTGTGTTAGATGAGGAAGTTGATACATCTCCGAAGCCTGTTGATGCCGTGCTACCTCGCGTTCTATCCCTTTTATCCTCATTCAAGGAGTATCTTGATATTGTGCTGCAGTGCACACGCAAGACCGAAGTTCGGCAATGGAAAACATTGTTTGCATACCTCCCGCAGGCACAAGAACTCTTTGAAGAGTCGTTGCAAAGAGGTTCATTGAAGACAGCAGGTGGGTACTTAATTATACTACATACACTGGACGAACTGGGGTCGTCAACCGAACAGTCGGTGCGACTTCTGTCTCGCGCCATGAGGGAAGGCGATTGGGAATTGTGTAAAGAACTTGCACGGTTCTTGGCAGCTATGGATGAAACTGGTGAAACGTTGCAAGAAGCCATGAGGATGGTGGAGGTGTCACTTAAGCAAGAATCGGGACAGGACAGTATCGGAAGTCGACTCCAGATTCCGTCATCGCGCGTAACAAATGGAGGAGGGAGTGGCTTGACCAGCGGCGACGAGGACGGGGCCTCGGAATCAGATAGACGGTCTGGTAGCGACGGAGGTAGTGTCGCTTCGACGATCAGTGCCACCTAAAGAGTTAAAAAAGGGCTTGGATCGACAGTTCATGTTGGGAACATGATTTTATAGCCAGTGGAGTTTGAGATTGGGAATGGTGGGCATCATGCGGTAATAGGAGTACCATTTCTTTATTATATTGGAAGAGGTCAAACCCAATACGGCTAATTGACTGAAGGGAGTGATGCTGCAGCCGAACTATTCAGTTCATCATAAATACCGATGTGATTTTCATTGTCAATTGACTAATGACTGTACCAACAGGGCTTATTTCGACGCATCGTCAAGTCGTGATGTTTCTATGGTGTTGAGATGAGGCCCAAATTCGGGACATGTACCCCGCCAGGTCACGTTACCCTGTCGTCTGGTGGCCCATCCCGTTCCAGCTCGACCGCCGCAGACGGGGACGCAACGCAGAGACAGGATGCAGAGACGGCTTTTGCAACCCCACCATCGAGAGGCCGAAACCAGAGCAAACCAGACCAAAGCATAGACTACCTAGGTACCAACGACCAGGCCAGGGATTAACGAAACACGATATTTACGATACCATAACGATACAACCTCGACGAAAATACATTCTCCAACGCACGCCTGATATTACCCGCTGCGCACCTGTCAACAACCAAGCCAGCGACTTCACAAAGCTGGGACATGGTCGCTCGTTGTTGAGCTACCTTGGTCAATAGCTTCTTTATATTTCTTTTACGCCCAGCATGATGGATGACTACGTGAGCGAGTCGGATAGCGACTATACAAGTTATTGGCGAGACTGGGTGAGTGTGCCTCCAGCCATTGTTGAACCGTGGAAGCAACGCGCTCTTGTTATCGCCGTATTGTTTTTAAAAGGATAGCGGCCATACAGAAGCGTGGGGTCACGGGGCTGCTTTGTTATCATCTTGGAATTTCATGGGCTAATCACGGATCCTTGCAGTTCATCTCATCGAGGGGTAACGAGTACTTTTGCGAAATCGACGAGGACTACCTTACGGATAGGTTCAACTTGACAGGCCTTAACACTGAAGTCCAGTACTATCAGTATGCGCTAGATCTCGTCACCGATGTCTTTGATCTCGAGTGCGACGATGAGATGCGCGAGGCCATCGAGAAGTCTGCGAGGCACCTTTATGGTCTTGTGCATGCCCGTTACATCGTTACAACAAGAGGGCTTACAAAAATGGTGCGTGCATCTTGATTAGGTATATGGTACCACTCTGCTGACATACGAGAAAGCTTGATAAATATAAGAAGGCCGAGTTTGGGAAATGCCCTCGTGTCATGTGCCACTCCCATCCCCTCCTCCCCATGGGCCTCTCTGATGTGCCCAACATGAAACCCGTTAAGCTATACTGCGCTCGCTGCGAGGATATCTACAACCCCAAGTCCTCAAGACACGCCGCTATCGACGGCGCCTACTTCGGCACATCTTTCCACAACATCCTTTTCCAGGTGTATCCCGCCCTCATCCCAACCAAGAGCGTGGAACGCTACGTTCCTCGCGTGTACGGATTCAAAGTGCATGCTTCGGCCGCTTTGATTCGCTGGCAGAGCGCCAAGCGCGACGAAATGCGCCGTCGGCTCCGCAAGCTTGAGATCGACACTGGCTTCCGTGACGAGATGGAGGACGAAGAAGAAGAAGACGAGGAGCTTGAATTCGAAGGTATAGATGGTCGTATGGCTGTTGTGGAAGGCCTTTAGAGGGCTCTTGTCTCAGACCCTGAGGAGAGCACTAGGATAGGTACTGGTGATAGAATCAGAGTCATACCGACTGGCACCAAAGACGATCCACACCAATTCGCTCAAATGGACATTAATGAAGCTCCCCTGGAAACATTCCTCGTATTCTAGCACTTATTTGGGGTTGTTGAGTGGACACGAATCTGCTTATGCGAAGGCATTCGCCGTCTCTCGGAGGCAACAAGAGCAGTTCTATTGTTTCTGCGGCTGTTGGTCAGGTTCTGGATTGGCGTTTGGCGGCAAGTCATATGGGCTGGATTGGGCTGTATAAACAACAAAGGAGTGCGAAATGTTTTATTTTTCTCTTGAATTATAGCTGTTCAACAAAGAAGCGTTCTTCCCCCCCCCCTGTTAATACATTTGGACGTGAACCTTACTGATCGCCCACCGATTATGAACCCTTGCTCTGATTTGACAAGCAATTATTTTGATATCTCACTGATAGTCACGTTGGCTGAGGTTGATACCTTGTCAATCGGCCATTTCGTTGTTCGTGTCATGTCGTGTCAAAAAATCAAAGTGGTCTATCTGCCCGCGAGCTGTTCGCTTTCCATTCATTACAAACAAAAACAATCCTGACCAATATCCAGAGGTATCACCTTTTCCCTGGAACCTGAATATACCATACATCTGAATTACATACATGTACACATGCGAGCACTGCATGTCTTGCCGTAAAGCACAATCTTCCTTAGATCGCGATATTCCGCGGTTCTAGACACGGTTCTCAGCATAATGGGCGTCACCGTACCGGTTTTCATTGAACCGCTCATCAGGGAACCTGTTTTCTAGTCGATCAGAATCATCCATCCTCTGTAGCTCCACGTCTTGGAAGTTTTGGCTGGGCCTAGGCTCTTGGTCTGTGTTTTGGCGAACATTCCGTTGAGCGAGGGCAGATGTCATGGGTGGGTATGACGTATCTCCAGAATGGCCCACGTCGCGTCGAGGAGAATAGACGCCGAGCTCCTCGTCTGTACCAGCATAGCCTTGTCGCCCGACACCTGCCCAGAACGCACGTTGATCACTTCGAGGACCCCATGCCCAGCCAGCACCAGCACGAATGGGCAGGTGATAATATCGGAACGCAAAAATGGCGGCAACCAGACCCATCAAGTAACCGAAGAGAATATCAAAGCCGTGGTGGCGACGGTCGTGCCAGCGCGAACCAGCAATGAAGATTGAGACACCAAAGGGGAGAAGGCCAAGAGCAAGGAGGTAAATCGGGGGCGCAGCAGCTTGGCGACGCAGAGATTGGACCTTGGCATTATCTTGTCCTGCGCGTTCCTTTGTGGGAACAGAAGAGAATGATCCATCTGGGCCGCGGGCGCGCGAGGGCTCGTAGGGATCGACGACAGAGCCGGTATGGATTCGTGAGGGGAACGCCGCATGGCTGGCTGCTCCTGCCACGGCAGCAGCAGAGGGCATCACGAAGGGAATAGTAACTGCGAACTTGCTGGCCATGAAGAGCGAGGCGTAAATGAGGCCACCGGCGGCAGACGACGAGTGGCCGCTGGGGTATGAGCGGAAGCCGTCGTCAATCTTGTACTTGTCGGTTTGTTGGCAGATATCGGCCGAGACAAGCTGTCCTGTCATGCTCTGCCACTTGAAACCACCAACGACATACTTGTCGATGTTTTTCCAGTCGGGGTCGCAGCGGGCAAGGAGATCCGGTCGAGGCTTGCCAAACAGATTCTTCATAGAGCTCGTGAAGAACCATGACAGCGTGAGAGATAGGACGAGGCCGAGGACACCAACATGAAGCTCCCAGAGCTTGCGCTGCCAGATAAGAGTCTTTGGGGTACCCTTAGGTACAGTCGGGCCAGGAACGAATATTAGGGAGACAACGGCGACAATGACGAACGGCACGCCAATGGCGAGGATGAACAAGAGGTAAGCGGGGACGAGTTCATGTTCGGCGAATGGATATCTTTGAACGACGTTAGCATTTTAGACAAAAAGCAAGAGATGGAGACATGCTACGTACGAGATATTAGGGTCAACAAGCGAGAATGGTCGTTTCGCAGGCGCAACTCTATCGAGCCAACCTCCGATACCAACAAAGACAAAGCAGATAATCCAGTCGAAGAGGTAGGACAAGATCAGTCGAATGGGGAAGCGACGGCCTCGCAAACCACCAGATAATGTTCCTAAACCCGAGTCGCCCATCTTGTAATATGAATGCATATTCTATCAAGAGAGGGGAGGAGAAGATCGAGTGCCGAATCGGGGGGGGAGGGAGCGGGTTATTTGAGGTTTGGGGCTTGTCGTCACACACTCAATTGAGCCCCCGTTTCCGCTTCTGTGTGCACTTGAGAGCCAGACAGTTTACGCCTCCGTCTGCGTTGGGGTCTGGGGAGGGCGTGTGGGCTTTGTAGAGAGAGGTGTGTGTATGAGAGAGAACGAAAAGAACGGCCAAGCGGCTAGTCCAAAGGAGGTGGGCTTAGGAGGAACAGCAGTTTTGGCATGCGACAATAAGTCTGGGGTTTCTCAATGACTTGGGCAAGAAATGAAGGGATAATGGCTATGGTTATGGGTATTGAGTATTGACTTGAAGTCTGGGGTATGAAGCACCGGATGATATTTTCAGTCGCCAAAGCAATCCCACTCGCCGGTCGCTCTTATGTCTTCGTTAATCGTTAATCATGTGCTTGATATCGATGTCAGATAGAATTCTTCTGTTTGTTTGGACTGGCAGCGTTGGACTGATCTGCGGACGATTTTACCAGAAAATGGTCCTTTGGAAACTGATGTAAGAAATGAATGGGGCTGACGGCTTCGGTAATTGGAGGTTACGTGTACTGCGGCACTCCTAGCCTTGGGCCCTGTGTACCAGCTGGAGTCTGGGCAGGGGGCCAAGACTATCAGTACCTCCACTACCTAATTGTTTAGGAGAATTGTCTTTGAATTTGGGGGGCCGAAGATCTCCTTTCGGGATCATGTACCGCTCCCTGCGCTCGCAGCAGTGTTGCAAGGCTTGTTTTCTACAGAGCCCTCCAGCACTAGCTTAAATCATAAAAGATCTTCACTTTGAGACTATTCAGATGGTGTTCGAGCTTGCGCGCGCCTGTTTTGTTCTAAAGTACAGGTGCCACTAGAACGAGGCTATGACGAACCCCCTGTAGCACCAGTGGCGTGTGGGAGCCTCATTGGGGAAATGCTCGCGTGGTCCCGCTTATGATCCATTTCTCTCGGGGGTCCGCGCATCGATGGCTAGGTATTTTTCAACTGGCATCGGGGCACGAGGGGCACGAGGAAGAGGAAGGGTTGTTTTTTGTTTAATATTAGTTCGCAGTGTTTCGGTACCTGCCTATATCATGTCAGATCTGGCATTCAGTGAACGCCGAATACCATCATGTGGTTCAAGTGAACTCTCCAATCCGGCCTTTGTCTCCCTTGATTCAGGTAGATTGATGATATGGATTCTCGAGTGAGAACAGAGCAAAGGAACAGGCACTTCCTCAGGTGCCAACAGCTTCCACTGTGCTCGGTGCCTCATTAACCATGCCTTCATTACGGTTACGGCGGTCCATTAAGCACTTCAACACCATCTGACAATCGTCACCCCCTTAGCCCCATCGGGCATTTTGGAATGCATGTATGTTCTCCGTTCCGTACGTGCTACCAATTCCTAGCACACCAAATATCCTAGTCAGTCATCCCGTCCTGCTCTTTTTTACAGTCTTGTTTCCCTGAAAGTCATAACTCCATGACCTGGCTTACCAGGCCCTGCCATGATCTGCGTTCATCTCTTCCCGAACCCTCCCGTCCAATCAGGTTTCGCGGATGAGAAATAACCTTAATTCTGTTACCCGCCCGCGACGTCAATGATATTAGAGCCAGTCTGGATTAGTGAAGCAAGAACAGAAAGATTGATCAACAATTGTTGACTCTACAAACTGCTGCTCAATTGCAAACCTCCTTGTAGTTTGGTAGGTACCTAGACTTCATTATGGTTTAGCACTGCTGAACCTGTCAACCAGTCTTAGCTCTTGGCAGCGAAAGACTCGGATTACGATTCGTGGCTCTGTGAGGCTGTGCAAAGTACCTAGCTACCTAGCCGTGTGGGCTTGACCCATCAGTAGCCGCCCTTGTATGGACAGCGCCGTCCAAAAAAAAAACATAGTATTCAATCGATTCTCCGCATAAGCACAAGACGAACTCATTGGCTCTTCCGTAAAACCAACGGCTATTCGGAATCTTGGGCGTGCTAAGACTAATTAGTAAAGCAGATGATATAGCATATCACGGGACTAAGCAACTGCGTTGAGTTCAGTACTCGCTATCTCCACTGACTCAGCCTGAACCCTTTTTTTTTCGGTGGAAGCCAAAGGACCCTTGCGCCTTGAGTGTTGAGACTGTTGCGAGTCAGTGAAACACTATACCCTTGTTGAAACTCGAAAGGCCTTTGTCTGGTCAGAGATTGCAACAGCACACTCATTGTTCGATAGGGTCCTGCCATTATAATTCTCGGGTGCTTTGAACATGATCAGATCGTTTGCAAGGATATGACGATTGACTGTCCATGGCAAGGTTCTTGCATGAACCTGTCATCCAGGCTTCACCACCGCCAGCGTTTACGGTGCGGTCTTGGGATATATACGATAAAAGGCTGTGCTACGGGGTATAGTTTTGTGAAACCAGCTTGTAACAATTGCACATGTAATGTCAAATTGCCAAAACATCAAATCCTGGAATATACATGTTCCTACGTGGTTCTTTGATTAAGACGCCAATTGGGCCCTTATCTATAATGTCACATATGATACAATGCAGCGTCATAATATACAATGCACTGACGACCGACTTCTTTCTCGGCCTGGCATGAGCTTTTCATCCAACGCATCAACTCATCACCCCTTTCCCTTAATTGGCCTTGTCTCGGCGCTTTCCGTTGTTTCGAGGTCGAGGTACCACAACCCACTTGTTTCTGTTGTGCTTGCGTCGGGTCTTGTAACCACTCTTGGTCTGACGATGGTGTTAGCATTGCTTCATATGCTTCGAGGCTATTAGGTAGTCTTACAGGAACACCCCAAGGAGAGACAGGGTGACGATTACCCTTCGATTTACCTCTACCACCACCATGAGGATGGTCGACTGTGTATTTCATGTCAGCAGCAGTCTTGCTAAGATGCGCCTGTGTTCCTTACCCTTGTTCATGGCAACACCACGGACTGTAGGTCGAATGTTGAGCCACCGGCTTCGTCCAGCCTTGCCCAGCTGGCGATAGTGGTGATGGATGTTGCTAGCCACGCCAATCGTCGCACAAGCATCCTTGCTAACTCGTCGAACTTCACCGCTCTGGAGTCTAACCTCAACGTACTTGCCGGTCATGACCCTAGTACCGTCGTCTTTCGTCTCCTCGTTCTTGTTGACAACCACAGCTGAGGTGCCGGCACTACGACAAAATACGGCGCCACGTCTAGCTGCAGATCCCACAGCAAATACTGTAGTACCGACAGGAATCATGTGCATAGGTAGACAATTACCACGGAAGGCAGTCTTTGCAGCTAGAATACCGGGATCAATAATACCACCCATGCTGTCAAGCAGATCTTGAGGAATACCGGCACGATAGCTGTGCACAATATCCCCAGACCTCAAACCATCAGCGGCAAGAATGTAAGTGTGACGTCCGGTAGCCTTCTCAGTGACAAGAGCAATGTGAGCACTCCGTCCTGGGTCGTATTCAATGCGTTCCACCAGGTGAGGTCCTGGTCGGTTGCGGAGGAAGTCAACCGTTCTTATTCTTCTCTTCGCACCGCCACCTCGGTGTCGCACGGTGATCCTACCAGACACATTTCGGCCACCCTTTGCTTGGCCCTTCTTCGGGAATGTTAAGGGAAGGAAAGGTCGTCCTTTCCAGAGATGATCGTTGATAGGTCGCTTGAGATGTCTCACACCAGGTGTTCGGGGCTTATAGACTCGCAAGATGGCGGATTGGCTCTCGGGGTTCTCGGCGAGTTCTTTTGGGCTGGCGGTGGTTTCGTTAGAACGTCTGATGGTTGCATATGTTCGTGGGAGCGATCGGCCCAGCGCTATGCGCAAAGCGCTCTGCCGTGCAGCAGCAAATTGAAGGCCGGACTGAAGCATTGTCTGTCTCGGGTGTTTAGGTTCGAATTTTAGCAGCTGGTCTTCATCGGAGTCGATTCGTGTGGTTTTATGGTTTGATATTAACTCAGAGGGGAAGGCAGTGACGTTCCCCAACGACGGTCGCTAGAGAGCAGGTTAGGCGGACTACCAATATTAAATGCTTCCTGGTAGCTCAAACGATCTCTAGCTAGTAGCAAGAGGCGATCGGGGAATCCAGGACCGTCAAGAAAGAAGCCCACTATCGCCAATTGCACCGTTGGTGTCGTTCGGGATGTTCAAATTTCATCGGATAATGAATAACTTTGTGCCGGGAAGACAGATCTGAGCCACTGCACAGAGACCTGCACCGCCACATGCAGCCGCCACAAACGCCCTCACGTAGCTCCCACATGGCTCGTGCTTCGTGAACCTCGACCCGCGACGAGGCTGGGCCAATGAGGTTGAACTCAAAGGCGGTTGGCCGGCGGTTGCTAGGGCGGCAGTCCCACAAAAACACAGTCCTGAGCCGGAAGTAGTACGTAGCTTTTCCAAGGTTCCAGGTTGACAGCAGCTTTCGCGACTTGACCTGGATGCAGGCGCGTTTTGTACTGATCTCATCCATCCCGCCCCTCCATACTAAATGTCAAGACCCCGTCCACCATCGTCCGTTTACCTTGACCTGGCTCTGTCTTCTTTTGATATTCAACTTTGTAAATGTGCCTGTCGCCTCTACCGTCTCTTTTACGTTTATCCTTGTTCGACCATCGGGATATTGCCATTTCTTTAGGGTCTTCGTTCATCCTACCATTCTCATTATCCTCCGTCTGATATCAAGCATCTCTGCTGAACTATCCAGCCCTACTCGACATTTTTCGCACCTAACTACTAAGTCGACTGCACATCACGCCGCAGTATTCGATTCTTTGCGCGTTTCGATACGTCCTGGGAAAATAGCAAAGCTATCGCATCACCCCTGCTCCTAACGAGCTCCAATCCTTTTCTTTCGAGTGGGACATCACGCTTGGGAGCCTGACGTACCTAGAGCAACGAAGAGCAACGCGACTTGTCTAGCCGCGTACGGGTACGTACCCACTTTGGTGGATCTCCACAACTCATCTTCCTTACCCGCTCGTCAAAACACTTCTATCGTCCTCACAACCACAACTGTTCTTGAACATAAACATCGTCTCCGCCCAAACTTGCCCATTGCTCCTGTCCTTTTACCTCTTGTTTACTTCCTCCGCCAACAACTTTCTATTCCGGCCCGGGCATCCTCGACTAACATACAGCATCAGTCATCGCTCCATCTATCACGACTCACAACATTCCTTTCTCGGTGTTTTCACCAGTCTTGTCCCAAAGGTTGGTAGTTGAATTCCTACTCTGATTCGACTGTCTCGGCAGCTCGAATGCTGTTTGTCTATAACCTTTCGTGATCTCAGCCATCTTTTTCCTTTCATGTTTCTCATTCGACGCGTTGACTAACTCAACTGTTCCAGCACTACCCCCTTGTCAATATTACACCGATCAACAACTAGATAGCCAAGATGCCTCCAGTAAGTGCTCAGACGCGACCGAGAGGCTTGGGTTCCTTTCCTGATCAGCCATTCTAACTTGAGTAGCAGGCTCGGGCCACCCGTACGCGCCTCACCGGCAACGAGAATGACGAGAACAGCGGCACGACGCGTCTTACAAGAGCCCAAGCTGCCGCTCTCAAGGTTGATGAGCTATCAATGCCTGCTAAGGCTGCCCTGCAAACAAAGAAGTCCACAGCCAACGGTACCGCCGCCAGTAACACGCGGAAACGCGCTGCATTGGGCGATGTCAGTAATGTAGGAAAGGTCGATGGTGTTGCTGGAAAGAAGGCCAAGGGATTGGTCTCCAAGGCTGCTCAACCCACCGGTATCGAGAAGAAGACTGCGCGTCCTACCACAAGAACTGCTCTCGGCTCGAAGCCTACCAACTCCAAGACACAGTCCGGTTCCGGCACCATTAACAAGCGAAAAGTTGTAACAGATGCCGCCAACACCAAGATAAAAGCTCCCGTCAACGAAAATGAGCATCCCTCCAAAAAGCAGCATCTTATTTCTGAGGAACGTGAACGATCAGAGACGCCTGTTGAGGTTGAAGTCGAGAAGCCTGAGGTCTCTCTAGACAAGGCAGAGGTACAAGATGCACCTTTCGAGTACCCTCCTGGCGTCAAGGACTTGGACAGCGAGGATCTAGAAGATCCTCTTATGGTTGCCGAGTATGCCAATGAGATCTTTGAGTACTTGCGCGATCTTGAGGTCAAGTCGATTCCCAATCCTGAATATATGTCTCATCAGGACGAGCTCGAATGGAAGACGCGCGGTATCTTGGTCGACTGGCTCGTTGAGGTTCATACCCGTTTCCATCTACTTCCCGAAACCCTCTTCCTCGCCGTCAATCTTATCGATCGCTTCCTATCAGAAAAGGTGGTTCAGCTTGACCGTCTCCAACTTGTTGGAATCACTGCCATGTTCATCGCTTCCAAATACGAAGAGGTCCTCTCTCCCCACGTCGAGAACTTCAAGCGCATTGCCGACGATGGTTTTACTGAGGCTGAGATTCTGAGTGCTGAGCGATTTATCCTGAGCACTCTCAACTACGATCTCAGCTACCCCAACCCTATGAACTTCCTCCGCCGTGTCTCCAAGGCAGACAATTACGATATCCAGTCTCGAACCATTGGAAAGTACCTGATGGAGATTGGCCTGCTGGATCATCGATTCATGCCCTACCGACCTAGTCACATTGCTGCTGCTGCCATGTATTTAGCGCGACTGATGCTTGACCGTGGCGAATGGGTACGTGAAATTCACATTCTTAACGTGACGACTACTAATGGGTCTGTAGGACGAGACTCTTTCTTACTACGCTGGTTACACTGAGGACGAGATCGAGCATGTCGTTCAGCTCATGGTCGACTACCTCGCTCGCCCTGTCACTCATGAAGCATTTTTCAAGAAGTATGCTAGCAAGAAGTTCTTGAAGGGTATGTATCTATCCCAGCACATAAGGAATAGCCAGCTAACAAATTACAAAGCTTCGATTCTTGCACGCCAATGGGCAAAGAAGAATGCTCATGTATTTTGCGTCCGCGACGTTCATCTGAGCCTTGATGAGCTATCATAGGCACTTCAAGTCACCACTTTGATGGCACATATTATTCGATATTCTGAAGAACAGGATACTCGGCTAGCGGTTGGATTCGGCTACACCGCCGCCTCACGACGTTAATAGATCACCGACGCCCTTTGGTCAACCTCATGGGCCATCATGATACCACACATTCCACTGTCGATACCTGAGCGAGTATGCAATGAAAAGCACTTGCCGTATTGGTCTGGATTCATATTCTCACTGTCTGATATTACGGACAGCATCTGCACTTTTTTGTTTGCGATTGTCTGTTTTTTTGCACATTTCCCGAAGCATGCTTTTCGTCTTCATACATGGCGCATGGAGTCACTGGCGAAGGAAGTTAAGGGCTTGGTTCGGCTGGTTGGAGTTGGCTGTGCAGACGGCCTATTCATGGGGCACTGGACGGGGAGTAATGGAAGCTGTACGACACGGGCCACGGGGTGGCGGATGCAAGCTGAGCTTGACATTTGGCGGTCTGGCGATGTTTCTCAATGACTGGAGTAGGAGAACTCGGTACGGCTCTTGTGCATCTCGGCTACCGTCGTGAAAAGGGCTTGTGATAGAAAATTGTACATATACCATGACCGGATTACGGAAAGAGCCCAGGAATGGCAGGAATGAAGTTTTACATTTCACGAATACATGGACCACAGTGGGTGATTGTGGCCGGGGCCTTGGATGGTTACAGTGGGTAAATTCGCGTGCTAGTTATCGGCCGCGTGCCTTTGTACGGACGGATAGAGCTGGATGTTTACGCAGAACATGATTAATGTCGAAACGGTTGCCGTTGGAGACGGCGTCTATAAACAATGGATGATTTTTGATGCACTAGCCTTGACTCGGCTTTTAACTGTTGGGTCGCGTCACGCCTGGCCCACCAAAGGGTCAGAGACACGCTCTTTTAGGCCTGTGGCTTGTGTGATCCGCACTAACCTTGACGGGATGCTCTTTCATTGGAGGTTAGCAGTTAGCACTCCAATCACCATTAAACATCATCCAGCACCAATCTTCAAAGACAATCGTTCCAACTTTCACTTGCTGTAAATGTAAGCCAATTGATTCCCCTTAATTTATGTGCTCAAGCTGTCGCATGTGTTAAGCGGCAACATAGCTGCTGCCAATTGAGCGAGAGCGTTGGAACAAGCACAGCGAACAAGTTTACACCTATCCGTCGCATAACATGGCACCCGTCCTTCGAGCAAGACAAAGCTTATCAAAGGATAAGTTCTCTGGCTATTTTAGCAACCTCAGAAGCCAGCCCTACAACGACCCCAATAACTCGCGGGGCTCGAATCCCCATAGGTATGTGTTATCTGACCAGGGGGCCCATTTTCTTATCCCTCTTACTGATTTCGATGGTGAAGCTTGCGATGCATCGCGTGGAATCCCCTCGGGACTCTAGTAGCAACAGGGTCGTCGGAGAAAACCCTCAGAGTGTGTAAGTGATCAAGCCTGCGGGGCCTGTAATGTAAGGCCACTAGAGCGAGGCTGAACGAGATAGGGAACCCTGAAAAGCCTCATGTCAAGTTTTCTACGGAGCTCAAGGGCCACTCAGCATCTGTTGAGAAGGTCGCATTCAACCCAACAAAGGATGCAGAGCTTTGCAGTGTGAGCAGTGACGGCGTGGTCAAGTTCTGGGACGTGAGGACAAAAGCATGCTTCAACGAGGTCAAAGGACTTGGGGACGCTTTTACTCTTGTCTGGGCACCAGATGGGAACACGCTTCTCGTTGGGAACAAGGCAGATGCCATCTTCGTTCTATCGCCATCTCAGTCGACGCCTCTCAGCACGCATCAACAGTCCGTGCAGACCAACCAGATCGCATTCTGCTGGAGCGGTGAGAAGATCTTCGTGACGACAGCAGAAGGACGGATCCGAGTCTTGTCGTACCCTGGATTCCAACCTGTATTGCAGAGCAAACATGGAGAAGAGACGGACGAGTTTGAGCTCAATGGGCATACTTCTTCGTGTCTGACTGCTGATCTACAGCCTACGGGGCGGTATCTGGCGACGGGAGGCTCAGACTCGATTATTGCATTGTGGGATACAACAGACTGGATTTGCCAGCGAACAATTACGAGGATGGTCGGGCCAGTGAAGAGCCTCAGTGCGTTCCTTTGGTATCGATTTATAGTGGATTGGCTAACCTTTTTGACTTCAGGCTTTACGTTCGATGGTAGTTTTGTTGTTGGTGGAAGTGATGAAGGTAAAAGTTTCTAGCCCATGTTTTGAGACACTTTTGCTAACTTGTTTTCTGGGTAGGATCCGGCCTGGAAGTATCACATGTCGAGACGGGAGACCATGTCCACACGTTCAAGACAGCTGGTGCTTGTCCAGTAGTTGCTTGGGCTCCAACAAGGTATTGTCTTGCATATAGTGATTTGGGCATTTTGCGGATCGTGGGTGTCGATGTCGACAGGAAATAATTAATCCCTTAGTCACGTTAAGTATACAATGCGAGGGTTTATACCGGCCCTTGGAAGCCCTCACTTCTGCAAAAAGCAATTGGTACTGTACATAATATTTCGTCGTCAGCATTTAAGCTATCATAGGCCAGCCTTACTTGCTTCTTATGAAGCTCTTGATAGGTTTAGGTCGTGTGTAAGACGGGCTAAATAAGGACCGGTGCGTCCGCGTACGGCCTCGCTTTTCCGCAAAGCGGGATGAGCCAAGGCAGATCTAGTCAATGGAGATGAAGGGCATTTGAGGTTATCGTGGTCCAAAAATTGCATGATGGGGGCCCGGCCCTGCTGACGTGCTGCTCGTGGGAGACAGGCAATTGCAATGGGAAATACCTTTACTCAAAACGCTATACTATGGGTTCATGTCAAGCTCGTCCAAGTTGGATAGCTTCCGGGCGATATGTCTAACTTGGTATGCTTACTATGATATGTGACACTGTGAGGTATCAGAAACAACAGAATGTGCTGTACTTTACAACAAGGAAACATGCATGGCCGTGTGGGAGAATAGACGTTGTATATCGTGGCCACTAGTACTATAGTCAAGTCTTGGTTCTTCAACCGAGGGAATAGTTGGGAGTTGATCATAGTTGTTAAGATAGATGTTTAGGGTAATTGAAGTTCCTGCAATGCTTGTAGTGATTAGGTTTGAGTTAACCTTAAACGTCCAGTGGCTAAGTTGTCACCAACGGTTAACTGATTATGCTGAGCTGAGGAAATATTGTCGTTGTTGACTTGGTCGTGGAGTCGAGTAACTCGACTTTGCGTTTGCGATCTCATACGAGTACGAGAACTGTTTTTATTGGCATTCTGATTGACACAAAATGTTCATATCATTCTTCTCAAGGTTGACAATGATATTTATTCAAGTCGGCCGCCCACCGACATCAATGGCTGCCACTAGAAGAACGGAAACAAGCGAAGCGTGTGGCTGTGTTAACCTAGAGGGCATATGATATCTGCAAGTAATCGTGGATGTTGACGATATCAGTTCAAGAGATGTGATAATAACTTCTTGATGACGAATACAGTCATACTCAGTAATGCACTCGGGTATATTTATTGCTGATTTCCTTCACACCTTGGATGTGGAAACAAACTGAGTGATAACCTACCTTGGTTAATTGCGGATTGCTACCTACTGTACTAGGTATGTAAGTCTGGATCCAATGCCATTATTAATCCTCATGCGCGGTCAAACGACTCCCAACCCTGCAAGGCCAGACTGACGGTATCTACTAGGTACAGTCCATACAAAACGTACTACAACTGTGCAGTACCTCACTCCACTGGCCACCTCTGAAAGCCAGTGACATCCATCTTATAGGTGCGCCAGGCAGCCAAGGTGTATCGCGGCAAGCATCCCTCAAACACCAACTCCCTGAGAACCGTGGAGCCGTTGGCTGAGGTGCCAACCATTAGACAGTAAGGTAGTATCTATCTTAGGCTAGCTAGGCTCTAGTTGTTCCCCACCTTCCATCCGAGTCTGACGACTCCCTCAAGGGTTCCCACCTGCCTCCATCTTTTAACTCCGTAACCTTGCCTTTACTCACGGTGGTGAGCTTGAATCCTATCGCTCCATGCTCCGTGTCGCCGTTTCTTTGGTACAACACCAACACGTTATCTTCCGGACTTTTATCAGCTTCGGTCCTCCCTCCTGATATCCACTTCTGTTTCTACTCTCTTGAATATTCCGGATCTCTCCCCGGGAGGTGCGGACCCTTACAACCGTGTCATCCCGCCCGTCCAGCATTTATTATCCCCGCCGCCGTCTGATCAATCGGTTTGCGACTTCAACCCTCGGATATCAACAAACACAGCCTTCCAGATAGTCCCCATGCCGGACTCAAATGAGAAGGGAGCTGGCACCACCGGCAACAAACGTCCACGTAGCGACGACGCCGATGGGGACGAAACAGCGCCTCAACATGAAATACCCGATAATGCGAGCGTTCCCAAGCCAAAACGACTGGCATGTATGATATGCCGGAAGCGCAAGCTCAAATGCGACGGAGTCAGACCTAGCTGCAGTACCTGCTCCCGTCTTGGTCATACTTGCGCCTACGACGAACAGCGGAGGAAGAGTGGTCCTAAGCGTGGTTACGTCAAGGCTTTGGAGGAGCGACTGAGTGAGCCTCTTCCCGACATACCATCGACAATTGGATTTACTGACGTGCGGCGCCTTTACAGAACAAGTCGAAACGTTACTGAAAACCCAGGAACCTCCGCAGAATATTCCAAAGAACATCAATGTCGCAATGTCCGGACCACCTCAGACAGCATCCCCTGCGAATCTTAATATCTCAAATGCGTCTATAAATCTCACCGGGGATCATAGTATGGACCAGCACTGGAACTTCACCGATAAGTCGCCGCAGCAAGGTGCCATGGACGACTTCAATTTCAATGCCAGTCTAGATATGGGCATGAACAATGTTGGTGGTACTTTCACGTGGGAAATGATTGGTCTGGGACTCGAGGAGCCTCTGCCTCCCCAAGAAACCATTGACGAGCTTCACCAGATTTATTTCGAGAAGGTTCATCCGTCTATTCCCATGATTCACAAATACCGTTACCTTGCCGCCATGAATCTGTATGTTGTTTCCCCCATACTGCTGAAAAGTGAGATGTCTAACCAGTTATCACAGTGCTCCGAACCAAAGACCGCCGGTTTGTTTGCGATATGCCATGTGGACTCTCGCATGCACCATAACAGATAAGTATGCAGATCTGAAAGATCTCTTCTACCGCAGAGCGCGGAAGTATGTTGAAGCAGATTACGTCAAGGGTTATGGAGAACACATGATCTCTATTGCTCACTGCCAGACACATACTCTGCTGGCCTCTTATGAAATGAAGATGATGTATTTTCCCCGGGCCTGGATCAACACTGGCTCTGCTATCCGCCTGGCTCAAATGTATGCATTCCCTAACTGACGCCCGTTTCTCTACTGACCATTGTAGGACTGGTCTCCATAGACTAGACGGGACGGGCCTCGACGTCAAGCAATGTCTTGCGCCACCGAAGGATTGGACAGAGCGAGAGGAACGGCGTCGAACATTCTGGATGGCTTTCTGTCAGGACCGGTATGCCAGTATTGGCACGGGCTGGCCCATGACCATCGACGAACGCGACATCATGACCAATCTCCCTGCCTCAGAAGATGCCTTCATCATGAGCAAACCCGAGCAGACACAGTCACTATCAGAATGCACTAGCCCCATGGGTGCAGGTAAGCTGTCGCCTTTTGGAGGTATCGTGCTCATGGCCTGCCTGTTTGGCAGAAATCTGGTACATCTGCACCGTCCTGATGCCGATGACCTTGACAACGACCTGAATGGTCCGTTCTGGAAACGACACCGCCAGATGGACAATATTCTCCTTAACACATCCCTCTGTCTTCCTCCCCAACTCAAGCTTCCCACTGGCTTGTCGAATCCTAATATTGTCTTCACAAACATGAGTATCCATACCTCGACCATCTGTCTACATCAAGCCGCTATCTTCAAAGCGGAGAAGAACAACTTGCCCGCATCGGTCAGTGCCGAAAGCAAAGTCAGATGCATCACAGCTGCCAACGAGATTGCCAGCATCATGCGCATGATTTCCCATATGGATCTCTCAACAGTAAGCGTTGCCAGCCATCATCCATTAGCGGATATTCTAATATGTTATTAGGTGAACCCGTTCATATCCTTCTGCCTATACGTATCAGCGCGAGTATTTGTGCAGTACCTTAAGAGCCGACCGGACGATAGCCAAACGGCAGACTCACTTCGTTTCTTGCTCTCTGCAATGAACGCGCTGAAACGCAGGAATCCATTGACTGAGTCGTTCCTCGTTCAGCTCGATGTCGACCTCGAAGCACTTGCACTGAGAATCCCCAAGCTGAAGACAGCCTTCCCACGCAATAACGATGCAGTATGTTGGCCCCATGCCGTTTGTCCTCGAATAGCACTAACGTCGCAAAGCCTACCAATCCAGGAGCGCCCAGAGGTGCTAGGTGTGACAACCCGGAGGGAATGCAGGGTATAGCAGCATATCGTAATGAATGCAACTATATGCAACCCTCGAGAGGTGACGGGAATCAAACCGATCTTGTTGAACCTAATCATAGCGTACCAGAGATCACGACCGCTGAAGAGAGTTTCGCTACACAGGCTTGGATGTCGTCTGACCAACAATTACCCATTCTTACACCGAGCTCAGGGGCGACGTTCGAAAAGACTGGATCTGGCAGTCGGACAATGTCTGGTTTTGGCGACGTCACAGGTGACAGCCAAGATGCTTCAGGATCGCCTGATGGATTGACATCAAATCGACCTACACCAAATTCGAGCTCAGGATCTGACCAGCGGAACCATCTGGCCCCCGGGCAGCTGAACGGATCCGGACACAACTCTTTCAACGCGAGCCCAATGTCGCCAAACCAGACTTTGATGAACCCGGGAGTTCTCGATGGGAGCACACAAGGATTCTTTTCGGACACAGCTGGATTTACGATGCCGAGCAGCCTTGACCAGAGTGGAGGCTTTTCAATGCCCGATGGTTGGGGAGACATTCAAGGACAATCAGGGATACCACAAGTTGGCGAGGGCGTTTTACGGGCGTTGATGAATATGGGACCAATGGACGCCATGGATTTGGGAACATGGGAAGCAAAGGACACCTGAGGTCGGTGAACGTGGAATTATTACGGGCGGGACTGATGGGCGAGCAATATGGCATCGAGAGCCTAGCTGGGATTCAACAATTTTCATAAAAAGAAAGAGAGAAAGAGAGAAAGAGAAGGAGGCGAACACACCACGGATCAGAATTGGCACCAGAGAGGGGCGTTTATACGGGACAAACACATCGGCAATTTTGTACACTATGGGTTGGGAGTCTCATGGATGACTTACCATGTATGTTTTGAGTAACTCTGAAGGATACCCAGGTTCTAATGACAATGAAACACCACTACAATTACGACCACAACAGGTGCAGGGAAAGAGAAGAGCTGCGTTATTGGATACCAGCGTGACGATGTTGGTTGGCCATGCTCTCAAGGCGATCCTGCTGGACACAGTAACAATCAAATCAAGAGCCACGCCCGGTTAGCTCAATCGGTAGAGCGTGAGACTCTTACGAGTACGCGATCTCAAGGTTGCGGGTTCGACCCCCGCATCGGGCTGTTCCTATAATACGATTGCGAGCGATTTGCGAGGCTTTCATTTTTTGTCGGGTCCTAGTAATAACCTTATCTAATATCTTTGCGGCATTCTTGGTCCGTGCAGAATTGGTGGGGCGTTTCCCTTGTTGCTTCTAACGTACCTAAAGTTCTGGTATGCAGCTGCAGCACAGTACATGACTCCCTGCCCCTCTTTCGAACAATGACCTACCTAGGCAACGTCTTAAAGCAGCAACAGAAACGTCAGAAAGTGCCACCGAGAGGAATTGGTCGTTCCCACTGAGGGCCGAATCTTACAGTGGAGTTTGTTTTATCATCGCCAGTATCAGGACGGAGACCCACTGCCATGACAGCTCCGAACACCCCGCCTCCGGGCTCCGCCTCTGCCTCCGCCTCCGGGCCGGGGCTATCCGCAACGTTCTCAACTCCGGGTCTGCCACCGGATTATGGACTTGATATGCATGGATATGTGGCACCCAGTATCGAAGAGGCTTACCATATCCATTCCATGCACACTGGTGCTGCTACTGGTCAATTTGGTATACTTGCGCCGATAGCAGTATCGGTGCCTGTTATGGAAACACCGGTTGATGGAATGCTCAGTGTACAAAATAATACTTACCGACAGGAGTTTGGAAGATCGAATGGCCACTTGAGCAGTAAGATTATTGTTGACCCCCCAGATCTGGAGATGTGGCGGAATAAGCTGTTCAACGTGGACGAGACGATTGTTCTTACACAAGAAGAGTAAAGAAGCCCTTCTCAATTTGTGATGATTTGCAGTCCTTAACAGCTTTAGGTTCGAGACATATTTTCCTCATGTAGACAACGTCTACTCCCATCGTTCGACACAGCGTTATAAGCGCAAGCCTTTCATCTCACACTACTGGGACTGTCGTATGAAAGGCCGTCCTCCAGGAACACCCAAATCCGATAACCCCAATAAGAAGAAACGAAAGAGAAATGCGCGCCAGCGCGATTTATGTGATGTCAAGATAAAAATTAGAGAGTATTTCCCGGGGGCTCGACTGGACCTTGATAACGTCAGTGGTCTTGACGCAGGTCTAGCAGGCCAGCGATTGTGGACAATACAGAGAGTCAATGGCAATGGAGGTAATGGAAAGGGGGACGGCGTGGCTGGGCCACATAAGCATACGCTTGAAAGGAGTGACGAGATAAAGAAGAATAGTGTGCAGAGGTATTTGGCAAACCAAGCTGATCTGAAAAAGGATAAGGAGAAAGTCCAGGTAAGCCATATGCATAATGCCAATTCTGAAGAAAACAAGTTTCTAATACGGAGCGTCCTTTACAAAAAGGCTCCACTGAAAGCCACAGGAGCTGCACTACTCACAGCTAGAAAACACGCAAAGGAGAGTGAATTCATGTTATACGCGGCATGTTTCTGGCACGTCGAACTCATCCTCAAATACACCCACTTTCCCATGTATACTAACCGCAAAAGCCCATTCTCTCAACGTGTCTGGATGGCTCTGGAGGCAAAAGGGATTCCCTACCAGTACTGCGAAACAGATGCCTTCCGTCACCCGACCCAGCCCCTCCCAGCTAACCCTCATGGCTGTGTGCCAACCATATTACACGGCGACTGGTCATGTTCGAATAGTGCTGTCATATTAGAATATGTGAGTCTGGTCTCAAAGTTGCTGGTTTGTGATATTGATGAGATGCGCAGCTTGAAGATCTCAGCCAAGGAACACCGATGCTTCCGCTAGACTCAAGACTGAAAGCCCATTGTCGATTCTGGATTGACCATGTAAGACACATCTCACTATCACCAAAATCAGAGGCGACACTGACGTTATGGAGATCAACCGTCATATCGTCCCGAACTTCTTCAAAGTCCTCCAACGTCAAGACCCGGCTTTTGGAGATGAAGCAGGAGTTAGCTTACAGGGCAGTATAGATGCTCTGGTCGAAGCTGCAGACAAAGAGGTAGTTTATCCTGAGCTCTCGGTACATCGCCTGTGACCGACATACTGACTCCAATTCATCATAGGGTCCGTATTTTCTCGGGCGAAGCATGTCTCTGGTCGATATACATCTAGCACCATTTGCTCTTCGATTCTCTAGAGCCCTGATCCCGGCGAATATACCCTCTCCCCCACCTGGATCACGCTGGGCGCGATGGCTGGATGCTATCGAGGGAGATAGAAGCGTGCGAGCCACAACTAGCAACCAGGTGCTATACAGTGAGACACTAGATGCCTTGATGAAGCAACATGGGCGCCATCAAATTCAAGAAGCTACGCATCCATAGGGAGCCCCTAACAATGCCTGAAATTCTCGGGACATTGGAAAGATTGGTACGAAATATCGACTGGAGCAGGACGTTGTACCGTCTACAGGCATATTCCGGTTGTGGTCAAGGGGTATCTATTTCATTATGAATATTTTGTATGAATAACATAACGCCTGGCGAGGGCGCTTAGACGGCAAATATGTGATAATTACGGTTCGAAGTGCCACGAGGCCGCTATATAGTACCATCTGGCACGGAGGGGTCGCTTCTCATGGACCCTCTCTTCCTCCTCTTGATAGCATCCCACTTCTCTTCTATCGTCACCAGCTCGCCCCCAAGTCGTGCTTTGACTCTTCCTTCGCCAAGCTCCTCGAGCGTTTTGGACTCGAGGTAACTCTTGCCATCGTACTCGACGCGACGCTGGGAATCAGGTAGGTATGCCCAGGAGAAGATGGCACCCACAGCAGCCACAGACCCAAACAGGAGAAAGATGAGTCCTTGTCTGTTTTCTGCTTGATATGACTGGTTTATTCCGTATACGACTAGAACAGCAACGAGACTGCCTAGCTTCCCTGCAGCAGCAGATATTCCGTGGCACAGACAACGATAGCAGGTCGGGAAGATTTCGGCTGGTATGATAAATGTCAACGTGTTGGCGCCTGGCGATCCATGGTTAGTTCTGGACATGCGAAATAGAGAGTGTGCTAGCTTACCAAAGTTGAACATGAAGTGGCAGATGGCTACAAACACCACTGTCGCCGGAGCACCCTTTTGTTGATGGACGCCATAGTAGACGCATCCAGTGATGACGAAGAAGCCAGCTAGAACGAGGAAGGATGCCGTGAGCCACTGACGTCGAGGGATGCGGTTGGCAAATAAGACGAAACAAGCGCTGCCTGCGATGGATGCAAGCGAGACGGTTAAGAGATATTGCTTTGTTTGCTCGATCAGCACGTCGTAGATGGTGTTGCAGGGGTGCGTCGCGTCGGTCGACCAAACTGGAAGTCCATCGGTGGCCCAATCCGGTACCGTCGAGTTCCCCCCGCGAAGCGATGATGTCCAACACTCGAGGGAGTCGTCAATCTTGGTCGGCGTGGTGGTCGCCCACATCGTCGACAGGGTGCCTCTGTTATCGAGGCTCATGCCATAGAAGGAGACGTCCAAGAAAAACCATGTTGCCGCCGTGCCCAGCAGATATGCCCAGTTCCCGTCGCGGATGAAGTAGTTGTGGAGGTCCTCTCTCGAAAATTGCACTGGCATCGGCTGCTGCGAGCTACTCGCAAGATGCATCCCATCTCCAAGGCCATTTGTGCGATACGAAGGTGCAACATGGTGGTTCCCGTCGGGGGACGTAGTCTGATATGTTGCCGTTGCTTGTGTTTGAACGAATAGGTTCATCGGGAACGAGTTCTGTCCGCCAACACCGCCACTCATGGAGCGCCCGTTAACACCTCCGCTGGGGAATGCTTCTAGCCCAGCACCTTGGGGAGCACCGTAGATCCTTTGAGTATTTGCCAGAGCCATCCTCGGTTTGTTCCTGACCTCAAGGCTGTAGATGCCACAGTCGAACAGGAAGAAGCGAAAGATGATGGCGAGCAGTGCAGGGACGGCACCCGACCCGATGACAATGCGCCAGACGCCGTCCAATGCCTTTTTGCATTCCTCTTCATGCAATCTATCGAGCCCGCAACGCATTCCTTGGAGGTTGTGACTTCGCTCGAAGCCGAGGAGGACAAACAGGCCTACCAACTGTGCCAGCGCCTGGCCGATGGGCTGCATCATGAAAACGGACGAGAGCATAGTGGCGCGAGATTGTGTACTGGACCATTCCGATGTGATGACAGCGCTGAGGGGGTATTCAGCTCCGATTCCTACGGTGTTTGTTAGCATCCAATTTTGTCATTTCTTACGTATGGTTGGAAGCCAGAGGTTGGTTGCTCAGGAGGTTTCACGCACCAATGCCCATGACAAAACGCCACCAAATGAACAAACCGAGAAAAGAGAGATCATTGTAGCCATGACTGCTAGTGGCGACTCCAATCGTAGAAACAATAACCAGAACGAGCTCAACGCCATAGAGGCGAGTTCGACCATAGCGATCCGCAAGGTAGCCAAAGAGGATCTGACCAACGACGGATCCCAAGAGTGTAAAGAAGTTAATGAGTAGACCCGACCATTCCGGGCCATTTGGCCAGTATACAAATGCGATAGAAGCGAGGATTACATTTGTCGAGAAGAGATTATAGCTGCTCACGAGTTAGGATGTTGTTGCGCAGAAGTGGCGAGGACAGGAGAAAGCTCACGAGTCTGTTAAAAAGCCAGAGGCGCAAACACCCCAGATGCGAAAGTTCCATGAGTTCAAGTCAAGCTCGTAGCGCAATTGTTGACGATCCTGTTATGTCAGAACCGTTGTAAGTCAACAACATCAAAATCATGAAGATAGAGGAGGGAGAGAGCCTTATGTATGTGGCACGTTGATGTGCCATGCACTGACTTACCTGTGCATCCTGCGATGGCAGAGCAGAGCTGTCCGAGCCCAAGAACCCGCGGTTTTGGCGCAAAGAATATCTCGAGAGAATGGACATGATTCGCGACGGGGATGAGCATCAGTTGCAAAAGTTCCAGTTCAATTCAGATCAGAGGGGGTGGTCTGAGGACTCCTTTTGGGCGATCTGATCCAAAAGAGCCCGATGAGCGATGGGCAAATTACAGTACAAGGCAATTACTGGGATTGCGGACAAGCAAGGTCCAAGGAGGAAGAGGAGAGGATTGCAATTCTCATGGCCGTGTTCGAATTCAGCAGTAGTACAGAATAGCAGGAATAGAATAGAGAAACAGAGTCAGAGTTAGAACCGGAGCAGGCCGCGAGCTATGAATGAATGAATGAATGAATGAATGAATGAATGAATGAATGAATGAATGAATGAATGAATGAATGAATGAATGGGTGTGGGATGCCATCGCAAAACTAACTGTGTGGCAGGCAGTTTAAACAAGGACTGCGTTGCGTTTGCTGTGCCAAGCGCGCGCCGCAACGATGAATTACCTTAGTTAGTTGATTGCTTTGAGCTGACGGACCGGACCCCTTGGCTAAGGCACGCTTGGCTTCACTTGGCAGAGCCCTCTGAAAGATTAAGTTATCTACCCTTGTTTAGAAGCGCGTCCGGAGCCTGGGTACCGACCTACGTACGGAGTACACGGGTGGTTTATTAGAGATGGTTGGCGCTCCAAGTGTTTCACAGTACCTACTACCTACCTAAGTACTAAGGTATCGAGCTGAACAAAAACGTCTCCGAGGGACCACCTCAGTTTCGATAGGTCAGCGGTGCCAAGAAGACAATACTACCTACCTATGCAAGTTGATTGTCTGGAGAAGAGCGACGATCTTTTTGAGCAGCAGCAGAAACACAAATGACTTGCTTCATCAGCGACTGTTTAGGGGTCCGTCCCTTGTCAGCCAGACTCGGTAGCCCGCGTGGGTACAGAATTGTCCGACTTGTGAAGGGCAATCAATCAATCAATCAATCAATGCCTTTGATAGAAAAATAATCCAATGGGGGCGACACCTCCCTGAGTCTGGAACCACTGTGGCTTGTAGACTTGCATTGAGTTAACCGTTTAAGACAACGGAACAAGGCATTGGGCAGTTGTGAAAGAGGCACGTGGTGTTGAAGCTTGGTCGGCAGAGCGTGGGGGGGATTTGAGGTCGTGAAGAAGTGGTTTACATAATCATGTTTAATTGAAGGCGAAGAAGAAGCTACTGTTGCTGATGCTGAAGATGGTTGCATTTCAAGGGAGACGGCGCTGTATTCTATCTACCTACGTATCTATACCTTTAGTACTTTACATACTCATGCTGTACCTTGACTAGTGCCTCGCTCAATCAATCTAGGTCCTGGGTCCGAGTGCTGCAACCCAATTCCATGGTTCAGGGAATGCATCAGATCGACGTTGCGACCCTCAGTACAGAAGATCTAAGCCGTTATTGCACGGATCCATAGTCTTAACCGTCTTGATATGACTTATCTCAACTCAAAGAGGAAGGAAGCATATCTTTATATCGTGGAGAGCTGGTCATTCTCGGGACGTGACGGGGCAAATGGTGATTCCGATGTTATTTAACTTGTCGAGCATATCGAAAACTCATATGCCAACCGTACCTATTTGACTTACAGCACCACAAACCTACTTTCAGCCCAAGCTGCAATTGAAAGATCGCTGAGCGTGCCGAATCATACATGGCTCTTCCGCTCTTTGTCAGACCATTATCGAAACATGCATCCCTATACTATACTGTGCAAAAAACTCCAAGCTATGCCATCACGCTCAGAGCGACTAACACTCATTGGAGGCTCCAACGCCAGTTGAAGGTAATGGGTTATACAGTAGTAGCACGCGGCTCTGCCCCAGCAGCTAAGGGACGTCCGTATTCGTGATGCTACGGATCTTTCAAGCGATGCCGACGAGACTGATAACTTTGTCAATTGGCAAGTCATAAAAACATGCGATCAATTCCGGATTCTGGTGACATCCATCCATCCATATTCCATACAAATCAAACAAGACTGACTGATGGGTCCAGACAATCGGAATTGCTAGCCGGAGCTTGGCCTAGCTCCAGTGCAGCATGCGAAAAAGTACCTAACTACTGTAGACCCCGGAGCATTAGCTAGGGGAGGAAAGAAAACTCAGGACCTTAACCTTAAGGGCTAAAATTCTTTAGGTAAATTTAGCCTAAGCTTAGGGGACTCTTTACTTAGTTTATTTTAACACCCTACATCAAGGTTCCGTGTTTTCTTGCCCCCTGAGGATTAGATACCTACCTCACACAAAGAGCCCCACGGCATGCATGAGACCCATAGAAGCTTTCTTGGCCGTGTTCCCTAGCCCATCAGAATGTCCCATGGACCCCCGTGCGCCGTGCTCCCGCTGTTAGTGGACCACCAATGGAAGACAAGCTTCTGCCCATGTGGCGTCGACCCTTGGCTGTCGGTTGCACAACGCAACCTACGACATTTGCTTTCTGGGGACGACTTCTTCTGTTGCCAACAACTGGCGGCTTTGCGACAGGCAGCGTGCAGCGTGCCTGTCTGTGTGTGGCTAGCCCTACCTGCCTGCCTTAGTACATACCTACAGGCTACAGGTACTGACTGACTGTATCCATCCATCCCATCCTCGCCAATTCGATGCGGGCACCCAAACATATGCCTACCTATGTACGTACGGACAGGCTAGACAGGCCCCTCGTTGAGTCAACCATCCGTGGAAATTCACCGCGCTCGCCTATCTGCCTTTTTTTTTACTCCTCTCCCAGCACGATTTGCGATGGATGATGCTGGCCTGCAGCTGGTTTATGGGACGAACAACGAAAAAAGACACAGACACACTTGCTTAGCTCTAAAACTTCTAGGAAATCGCCTTGAACTTTGATTTCTCTCCTGCCCTATCTCGGGCTGGGCTGGGCTGGTCTGGTCTCGTCTGGTCTGTCCTGCTTTGCCCTCTACATACATACTGTTGTGACAACAGCTTCGGTGCGATATCTCTATGTACGCGAGCTCCAACTTTACTTCATCCAAGATTGGGGATCCTCGGCTCCTGGAGCCCATCTAGCACACCATTCATTGTACACGTACGTACGGATACAGAGACAGATACAGATACATTACTGGAACTCCCAAGGTCTAGTTTCCTGTTGTCGTATCAGAGGGGCAGACGAAGGCACCAGCGGCTTCCGGAGCTACCCTTGCCAATCTAGTGCTTGAAGTCTATCCCGACTGAGTACTCGTACATACCTTACTCGGTGCCTCCACGTTGTATCGCTACTCTATTGTTGAGATTCTGCCTTTGCGCCGGCCTAGGCATTGGCGATATCAGGACCTCGACAGCCAAGAGCCTGCCGAGCCGCCATTCCTCTGTCAACATAGGCTTCCACACGGCAGACCTGACCCGTTCGTTGCCCAAGCAAGTTCAATCGAGCCAAAGCGTGTCAACGGCTTTGGGGCTGGTCACTGGGATCTTCAAGAAAGCGCCAGCAGAGAGACCACTCGCACCTCCTGCGCCGTTGTGACCGTGTCATGACATGTCCCCACCGCTCGGTCAGTCAGATCGCCCTCGACTGCTACCAGCGACAGCATGTCGTCCTCGGGCTCGTCCTTTACTTCCTCGTCGCTCGGTCGCCCTCCAACATACGGACGAACATACGTCAGTCCGGTTGATTCAACCTGGACTCCCACCTCCGGCATATCAACCATTTCTGCTCCGACCACCGAGGGGTCGGGAACTGGCACCTCGGTACTCGATCTGGGACCCCCGGGTTTCCAGGCAACAATGTGCGACTCTCTCCCGGCCCGCCGTCGTTGATATGAATGACATTGCATCTGGCTGACACTGGGATACATCTAGAATCCTTTTTCAAGATACTCCTGACGAACGAGTCGTTTACTTGGGGCCTTGGGAAGTGGTGGGTTCTGAGCAGCGCCGTGTTCTGTGGCAGGGTAGCTACCAGAACGAACTGCTCGAACACTTCTGTATGTAGACTTGATCTGCTGCTTTCCACATCCAACGTCAGCTAACTCAATTCACTCTCAGTGCCCTCCGACACACCCTCCGATATATATCCTCATACCCTCCACTCTCGCCATCGCCCGTACTATGACCCTTCGGACATGGAGAGATATCTCACGTTTCAGGAACCTCACCGGATTCGATACACAACGGATGAGGGTGTTTGTATACATGACCAGTACGTCACGATCAGATATGAGTTCACAACAGTCGAGAGCTCTATTCAATTTCAGGGAGATTTGCGCAGAAAGGACCTAGTTGATTTCTATGACGTCGACGTCGTCTGGACAAACGTCCATGGTCGCACAGATGGCTTCGGCAAGGTGAAGGGGATCGGTGCGATTCAGAGACTCAAGTTGTGGAGGGATCGATATACGACTTTCCACTCCCTCAGCGTGTGTGCGAATAAGACGGATGGCCAATATCGAGAGTATGATATTCACTCGTTCGACGGGGAACTGCGCGGGCGGGACGACCGCGCAAAACAGCTTCGAATCAATGCGGCTGGCAGACGGCATACTTCGGGCGACGACCAGCAGCACTCACACCGACGCTTTTCACTGCCGCATCGTATGCGATCTCGAACCAGGACGAATGATTCCTCCGAGCCAAGATCATTGCAGCAGCCGACTCTTGACATACGATATCTGGCCATCCAGTTTACTGAGCGTCAAGGTTAGAAATTAAGAAATAGAGCGAGCAACGGCTGCCCTGGCCGGGTCTCCAAATCTGTCTCCCGACATGTCAGCTAACAGTCAGACCAGCATACCGACGATTCATCGAGACATGGCTTTATTGCCACAGTTCGGACCGCGAATTCAACGGCATCCCATTTCCACCAAACCATTTCGAACTGCCCTCGCCGCAGATTCTGCCGGGACATTCTCCCGATTTCCCGGTGTCAGGATGGCCGAACCACATGCTCGAATCGGTGCCAGAACCCTCGGATGCGGCCGAAGCTACGCCTTGAAAAGGTCAAATCCGAGTCAGATGCCATATCAGTATCCTCGACCAGTTGCACCACCGAGACGAGCCACATGTTCGTGCTGCAGTGCGTGTTCAAGTGGGGTGACAGTAGTTGCAAGGTTTGATGTTGACAGCCCACACCCTTTCACCTGTCAGAAATGAAAGCGCTCATCAAACGCCGCCCAAAAGGGCGATAATCAGCAGCCGCCCGTTGGGGATTGGCCGGAACGTCAAGCAGAGGTTATCAGGCTGTATACCTCATGTCGCTATCCGTGGGCAGACAACGGGGAAATGCTCGGGGTGCCCCCACACCGACTCTCAAGACCCCGCGGTGCCTGGATCGTACCATGGAGCTGTGTCGTCATTGAGATGCACAACCCGCCGTCATGAATGGAGAGTTGATAAACTCAACTCAGGCTCCCTTCTCCCCTACCATCCATCGCTCACCACTGCTGCCACTGCTCCCCCGTTCCTGATACACACTCAACACCAAAGTATTGACACCTTCAACGTACAACGTAGTTCCACCGGTCATGAAGGTCATTCTCGCCATCAATGCCGGCTCCAGCTCGGTCAAGATCTCGGTCTATACCGCAGATAAGAACGCAGAACCTCATCAAATCGCAGAAGCCTCAATCGGAGGATTGACTGCCCCGCCAGCTACGCTTGCTTATACGCGTCGCGGTGAGAAGGTGGTCAGGGCGAAAGAGGTTGCCGAAAGTGTCAAGAATCAAGAGGATGCTTTCGACCTTCTCCTTAAGACGTTCATTGATGACAGTGAACTCAATGAAATCTCTTCAAAGGAGGACATTGCCATCGCTAGCCACCGCATCGTTCATGGCGGAGACTATGATCGGTCGCAAGTCATCACCCAAGATGCCTATCACCACCTTGAAGAGCTCAGCGACCTGGCACCACTCCACAATGGCGTCGCCTTGAGCATAGTCGATACTTGCATCAGCGCGCTGCCCAAGACCATCAACGTCGCCTGTTTCGACTCGCAGTTCCATACAACTATTCCTCCACACATCTACACATATCCCATCGACCCAAAGATCGCCAAGAGCAATCGCTTACGCAAGTACGGATTTCACGGAATCAGTTATGCATTCATCACAAGAGCCGTGGCCCAGTATCTTGAAAAAGGCGTCGACGGCTTAAACATGATCGCTTTGCACCTCGGCAGCGGTGCCAGCGCCTGCGCCATCAAGGGCGGCAAGAGTTGGGATACGAGCATGGGGCTTACACCTTTGGCGGGCCTTCCTGGAGCGACTCGAAGCGGCAGTGTTGATCCTAGGTAAGGCGCTCAATCCCTCAAAAACACCCAGGCACCCAAACACCCTAGGCCTTTGGGCCTAAGGCCTAGAACTTAGAACCATGCCCCACCGGATGCAGCGGAATGCTACTCTCATCAGATCATACATGAGATCCGGAACCGAGGGGTGGGATCAGGGTCTTCCTTTCTAAATTAAGGTTCTTGCATGCTGACCCTTGCCAACCTTTGCAGTCTTGTCTTCCACTATGCCTCCGATGTGGGGAAACTCTCCCCTGCATCCACCAAACATCTTCACATCTCAAGGGCTGAAGAGATCCTCAATAAGGAGAGCGGCTGGAAGTCCATGACAGGCACCACCAACTTTGGCGTAGTTGCCGAGTCAGACGAGCCCACCCACCGCCTGGCCTTTGAAATCTTTGTCGATCGCATTGCCGGCTTTATCGGCTCTTACTTCGTAACCCTCGAGGGTCGTGTCGATGCTTTGGTCTTCGCTGGCGGCATTGGAGAGCACAGCGCCAAGCTTCGATCTGCTGTCGTCGAGAGGGTTGCCTGCTTAGGCTTTGCCCTCGATGATGCTAGTAATCGGGAACCTATCAAGGATGTGGTCCAGGAACTCGGTAAACGTGATGCCAGGCAGCGGGTGCTCGTCTGTCAGACAGACGAACAGCTGGAGATGGCCAGATTATGTGCAGAAAAGGAGGATATATGGGAATAGGGAACCGCACGTGGTGTGGTACGAGAATCATGAAGCATGATGCCAATTAGTTGAGTAACGATACTGGATGATTAGACGATCAAAAGCATACATACAAATATAAAAGAAATTAGATTTGATTTTTACTTGTCATATGTAACGTGGTTGGCATGCGTGTTTTGGAAATGTCTCAGGCTTGTCAGAACATTCCATGTGACAAAAACTCAGGAGCGCGTAAAATGAATCGAGTTGCCTGTCGACCATCAGGCCATTGGTTACCAAGAGTATACCATAAACAAATGCTAGAAGGTGGATATTTGTTTGTCTAGCAAGACAGAGTCTCATGAGTATTGACCTATTTATTTATTGACTTGGATAGGTTGACGACAAGCTCACCAGGTATTGCAGTGATGAGTCCTTAGGTTTGAGGTAAATGGACACAGCAAGTCGTCCTTAACTACACTGGTGACAAGGATTCACAGCATACACAGTTGTAAATAAAAGTGTTCTATCCTTGCACATGGGCCGACATTACAAAAATGCTTGAGGAGAATATGATACAAAAATTCAAAATGGTATCAATTGTATACAGTTCGTGTGTTAAGTCCAAGATGGAGGCGCCACTGACGGCAACTATCCAACTCCTGGTGACTACACAGAAACCTGCCTCACTGCCGTCTAAACACAGCCGTAAGGGGCAGCGACCAAGTGTGTACTATGCCGCTGTTTCGTCTTCTTCCACCACCAATGCCCAGAGATGCCTGATATAGCCCTCGAATGGGCCTATCCTAAAAGATCTTATAGTTGAACAAAAGTTGGAAACATCAAATCGTGAAAACCCCGCCAACGCCATGCGTTTTTTTTGCCCTTGAGATTGAAACTCCAAGAGGGCGCGTCCTGTCGTCGTTTATCTAAACCGTGCCCTTTATGGGAACCATCCATGTAGCCGATCGTATACTCGCGACACCGTCCAATCCCAGACACCTTTTGAATAAATGATCAATAGAAAAAGGAAGAAAATAAAACAAATCCATCCAAGTGGAAAACGCCTTTGAATCCGGGTTGCTCCTCGTGTGTTCATACAACGCCGTAATAGAAACAGTACATTGAACAGAATAAAAGTGCAGCAATGTCTGTGTGGGGAGGGGAGGTCATTTGGGGGGATAGATTGTGCCCCAAGGCTCAAGTCGATAGGTGGAGTAATTTGTGTGTAGAGATAGGACTTGTCAGAGGATTAAGATTATCAATAAAGTAATGCCTGAGAAAAAAAATCTTTTTTGCAAGGAAGAGAATGCCACGATTGAGAGATCCAGCATTGTTCCCTTCAGACACCGGAACCCTCCTGGCATGCTACGGCCATAGCGAGGGCATCCAGACCGCTAGGTGTCCTGCCAGCAACGGGGCGGTTGAGAATGGGCAAGTTGCGGCCGCCCAAGTCCCAAGATCCACTGTTGACAGTGGGTGAGGCCAGCGGGGGCGTGGGAAGGGGATAGGGATCAGCGTCGCGTCGGCTCCTGGACGAGGATGTGCGGCTCGCGGAAGGGCGACCGGATGTAGAGTTACGGCGAGCGTCAGCGAGGGATGTCCTGTGGCTGCGCTGGCTGGTAGAAGAGCGACTCTTATCCTTAAAGTGGGTTTCGAGATGTTGCTTCATGTTGTCGGCGCGAGTGAACTTTTTCTGGCATCCAGCAAAAGTACATTGAACAGCTTTCTCCGCAGTGTGAATTTTTGAATGGCGCGAGGCATGACCTGAGGTAGTGAAGGTCTTTTCGCAGCCATGAGTGTCGCGGTACCTGCAGGGATACCTCTTTCCGGGGCGCTCGGGCATAGGCGAGGATCGGGGCTGGCTGACCATCTCAGCGTCGTAGGAAGCTGAACGGGTGCTGTCGGCGTATTGGGCATGCTTCGCCTCCATGTTGTAGTCCTGAGGAATTGTGTACATGACCTGTTGTCGAGGGTAGTAGTCGACGTTGGGAGTCAGAGGAGAAAGAGGATCGTTGCTCATTTGAGAGTCATAAGAGTCGGAACGAAGAAGTTCGGGAGTGTTTGGCGAAGAAGAACTGCTGCCCGGGGTGGGGTATGATTGAGTGAAGGCATAGCTGGAGTGAGAGTGGAAGCTGAGAGGTGGTCGTTGCGTTGACTGTTGTTGTTGTTGTTGGGAGGCAGTTTCGTCATTAAGGAGTGAAACTCGTCGACCAGCGGCGTTGATTGCGTGCATTGTCATTGCGGCAGTAATTGTGAGCTGCTCTTGGTAACTTTGGTGGTTGCAGTAAGATCAGTAGAACACAGCTACTGATCGGATCAGACTGGGTGACTTGATGCGCCTGGTTGTGGTTGCAGCTCCGAGGGAAGCGAGGCGGACGCAAATAGCGGGATGGCTAGTCGCGGAGCTTGTCTGGACTCGAAGGGACCGAATGAAGGGATTGAGAGCTCAAAATCGCCTCCGCTTTTTAGAACACGAGACTGATGGGTTTCTCGTGGTCTGTTGCGTGCGTGCGTGTTCCTGAAAAGACAGGGGTCCGGTAGTGGTAGCGAAGGGAGCAAGGGAGCTGATTGATTATGGCGGTGTCAATTCTGCAGTAGGGAAGCAGAATAGTTGGAAGATTGGTATCAAGTTCATGTATTGCACAGAAAGATAAGCAAAGATCTGGCACAAGTGGTGATTGTTGTTGTTTAGATAATGGAGGTTGCCGAGGAATCCAGTAGACAAGCCAGAGCCGGAGCCAAGGAGCAACGATAAAACAGACGGAGAGGGTGACTGGATACACGACACAAGAACGGATATAACAAGCAAGTATCCGTCGATGATCAGTCCAAGATGGAAGCAAGTTTGAGAGATGAGAGTATATCGTAGTAGTAAGTAAGTAAATAAAAGTATGAAGAGTGAAGAACACCAAACAAAGCGAGGCTGGAAATGATGGATGGCTGGAGCTTAAGTTTATAAGTAACCCGTTGGATTCGCAAGGAGGAAAAACAAGGGGAGTGAGAGAGTGTGAGTACGTATAGAACGGAGGGAAACAGAGCACACGCCTCT